CTTTAGGGATCAAGACATTACATTTAATATGTAAAGTGCTTCTGATAAACCAGATTTCCCAAAATCTGAAGGATCATTTATGTCCATAATCTCCTAAAACAAACGCTATTAGTGCTTTTACTTAAGTGCTTCTTAATCCTTGTTTCCATTTTGCAATGTACTGTAGAGGATCTTGGTTCTAGCAAAGGAGAACTTTTTATTTTTCACAAATTGAAGGGAAGTTTCTTCTTATATTGCTTTCCATCCCTTCGTCATTTTTGCATTTTGGTGCTGGAGGTATTGCTGTTTGTACACACTTTTTCTTTTGCATTGGCTACAGACAAAGTGTTTACCAAAAATTTATTGACTGTGGTAGCAGTCTTGAGACAGAAATATTTGTCGGGTCCTCAATGACATTTTGGTCTTGTCAAGAGAGACTGTTGGAAATGGTGACCCAGCTGTTGACAGTTGTTTGCATTTTTACAACAGAGTGTATAGTTAAGTATTCCCATTGTCTTTTCCTTCACTTCCTGAATGTTTAATGGATACTTTTAGGTATGAGCTTTCTATTTCCATGGTACAACTAAATAGTTTGTCAGTTGCAAAGGAAATGAGAAGTGTTATGGAAGTGATGATTCTATCACTGATGAACCTGTTCCTACACTAGCTGGGAATTAATCTATTTTGGTTTTGGCAGTTCTAGAAAGGCAAAAGGTTCCTTTAGATAAAATCAGTGTGGATGTTAGAAAATTTGTGGATTTCTTTTTTTTTTTTTTTTTTGTTTGAAATTTAGTTTTCAATAGGTGACTCAAAGCAAAATGCTTTGAATGCCAAACTGGAATTAACCATAGGTTAGTTCTTACAGAAGCAAGTCTAGAAAAGATGTGCTAAACAAGCTCATTTAGCTAGACTTTGATTTTAATTTTCAGAGGCATCAGGAACTCAAAGTGTATGTTATCAGTCTTTGTTGTGGCATTTTTAGCATTTTTAAGGGAGTCAAACCCAACACAACTATTTAGCAACCCCAATTTACATGCAAATAGGCAAATAATGTCTTCTTTCAGCAGTTTAAAAAGGAGTTATCTCATTTTGAGCTAAAGATCTTACAAACCTAGTAGCTCTAAAGATGTCTTGAACTGTCCCAGCCCTTGAATGATGAACATACTTTCTAAATATAAATAGGATGACCCAGCTTGTTCTGTCTTTTTCTGTGCTCTTATATCATACACATTAAAGCTTTGGTACACTTCAGCACAGATTTGGAGGATTTACTTACCTGCCAGTGACAAAAAAATCTTCAAAACTAAGTTATCTAGCACTTTCTACTACCTGTACATAATTTCTGGACAGTAACTAGTTTCACATGTTAATTCTACTTACATATGGTCTTATCATGACACAAACCCTTTTATTCTCAAAGTAGATACTTAAGCTAACTAGACAATGTTGTTGTGGATTGATCTTGGCTGGCTGCCACATGCCCACCCAGCTGGTCTCTAATTCCTCTCCTTCAACAAGACAGAGGGAGAGAATAAGATGGAAATCTCACGGGCTGAGGAAAAGACAGGGAGATTTACCATATCAGGCAAAACAGACTCGACTTGGGGAAAATTAATTGAATGTATTTAAAATAGATTTGGATGATGAGAAACAAAGACAAAAACTAAACCACCTTCCCCCCACCTTGTTGTTCTTCCCAGGCTCAACTTCATTCCCAACTCCTCTACTTCCTCCCTGCTGTGAGCGGCACTGTGGGGATGGGGATTGTTGTCAGTCCATAACAGTTCCTCTCTGCTGCTTCTTCCTCCTAAAGCCTCTTCCCTGCCCCAGCCTGGGATCCCTCCCACTGGCTGCAGTCTATCCAGAACAGCTCCCGTGTGGGTCCTCTTTATGGGCTGCAGTCCCTTAGGATAAGGCTGTTTCAGCGTGAGCCCTCGCTGACAAGACCTTGTTTCAAAATATTGAAAGTGCTCTCTTCTTCGTGACATCTAACGTGTTTTATAGCAAAAAAAGTTTGCTAAAATTAAATTTGTGCAATCTTTTGACAAATCTTCATGTTTTAGAAGATAAATG